TCTTGCGGAGATACTATTCGAGATCTTATAAGAGTTCGAGATTGAGCGGCGATTGACTGCTATTACGTGCGACAACGCCTCTAACAATAAGACGCTACACAATACGATGTAAGGACACTTGCTATACTGTTATTACTCTCCTCTAATATTCTATAGTGTTTCAGCGATTGATACTTGTTAAGAGAGGTACGGTATAACGGTTACTAAGCTACCAACGAGCTTGGAGCAGCTACCTCTCTATCTAGGTACGGAGACTAGTCCCGAATCAGAGATAGGAGAGGAAGAGGAGGAGGCAATTGCGGAGTGTAATCGAGGTAGCCGTCCGGAGCGATTTCCCTGCTTTGCCTATACTGCTCAACTTCCCCTAAAGGCCTTTTTCGACCGCCTAGGGCTTTGTCCTACGAACGACCTTTCCGAATTCTGGGATTACGACAAGGATAGAAAGATATTATAGAGAAGAAGAGTCCAGAGCAAGCAAATCAGCCGTCCTCAAGCTGATAGTATACCCTATCTTCTTTTGAAGGTAAGATTAGTGTCTACGCCTAATAAACTATAAACCCTTCTACCTCGAAAGTATAGTCGACTCGCGTAGTCGGCAATTATAGTCGGCAGTTCGTTACTCTAGCTAATCTTGATCTCTAGATCCGGAAGCTTTGCGTCTTTATTAACTCGAGCTCCTAAAGGTTCGAACAGTTCATCGACCTCTAGAAAGAGATGCTTCAAAAGAAGCAGCCATTTGCAAAGCACCGTCGGTAGAAAGGCGTTCAAGATCGTATCCTAAGGGTCGTTCAAGACGTAAAGACAAGGTAGTCCTCAACAACGTTAATGCTCGATCGCTTTAGTAGACTCTAAGTGGTTATTGAATCTTATATCGAGCGACTTGACCTAGGTAAAGACATAGGCATCGATTCCGAAGAATAGCAAAGGGTAGAGTACCTTATCGACCTTACGAAACCATTTGCAGCGGCGACAGCGGTAATTAGAACTACGAAAGGTCCGACGATTCACCTTGTCCTCGTATACTATAACAAGCTTTTCGATATTCTAGAGGAGGCGATGAAGCGACTCAAGAATAAGCGGATACCCTAGAAGAAGGATGTCTTTCAGGCATACGAGGCTGCTTAGGCTAAGCTAGAGAAATATTATCGAGATACCTAGGATCGATTTGGCGATTACTACGGTATTAGCGTCCTCCTTACCCCCTGCCTTAAGCGGAAGTTCTAGGTACGCGATGACTTTGGGGATAAAAGTTACTGCGCGTATTACGAGGGTAAGCTAAGGGCAGAGTAGGAGAAGAGCTATCGTTTATTATCGAGTACCTCTACCTAGCAGGGCCGTTTTGGAAGGAGTCGGCACAAAGGCTATATCGACTTTACTCTTAGTAGGAGTACAGAGTCTTCTCAAAGTCAAAGACGTAGCACTAACGAGGATGACGAGCTCGCCGACTATTTGGACGCTGATATAGATAAAGGGGATCTATTCGAGGTACTAAAGACGTGGTCTTCAATAGAGTCTAAGTACCCTACTCTCGCATTGATAGCGCGGGATATTCTCTGCATTCCTGCCGCCGGAGTTAGGTATAAGCGCGATTTCAGTATCGCTCGACACTAAAGTCGTTTCAATCGCCAATACACCGTAGCAACATTCTCTGGATTGATGGTATCTCGTTTTCGCTATCGGGACGATAAGTACGATACTAGAGTTCTTATCGCCTAGGAGGCTACAGAGGTTTCCTAAGCGCTTCTTAGTACTCTAACTTCATAGGAGATCCTTAGTAAAGACCGAGAGCAGACGAAAGATCTTATAGAACGGATCAGTGACTTAGATACGATTAGCGATAACGAGGGTGATGTAGTAGAGGAGCCAAGGCGATTAGTACGCCTAAGCTTCAAGCTTGCGTAAGAGTGCCTCCGGGATGCTACGAGACGATTATAGGGAGATTGCTTTAAGCTTGTATGAAGTTTACCTGCCGACCATATTTGCCGACTATATTTCTTAAGATTCAAAATATTACAACTTGTAGCATAGCGTATATATAATCCTGAGCTTCTTTATTCAATTTAACTATAATCTTCACTTTCGTATCTATATCGGGTTTATATACAGTTTCTTTTCTTATGCCTAGTCCAAATAAA